TTCCCTTTATACTTGATATGGTCAATAGACTAAATCAATAAAGTTGAACTGAACTGAACTGTTTAACTGTTCATGGGAACATTTGAGAAAATCTAAACTGATGAGGAAACAACAGATCAAATGTACAACTGGAAAACTAAAAGAAAATTTTTTTAAACATCCAATATAGAGATTTGTCCATGCCTAGATCTATATTTGGGAAAGTGAAGATGTACAGCAAAGAGGCAAAATTTGGAAAATAGTTTAGAGAAAAGTGAGGCACTTTTCATGGAATGAAAGCTTGGATGACACAAAGGGAAGCCAAAAATATTTGCAATAGGAAGTGTTATAGTTGTTTTGAGTGAGTGTTACTCAAGGCATTCTGTGTGCTGTTTGTTAAAATTACACTTCATCTCTCTTGGAATCTAGGGAAAAAGGAAACCACTAAAAAAAAACAGTTTAATAAAATTCACTGATACTCATCCAGTCTTCCTTGACTTGATTTTGAGCACAGAAGCCAGCAGGTCTTCCACTGCTTTCAGAAGACACTCAGCCATGGACTGGGGCAAGTCTGTGGTGAAAGAGAGTTCAGAAACTAAAACAAACACCTTTTTGTCTTCAGGCCTCATGCCCTGATATATAATTACTGTTGATTAAGAAATGAAACTGATTACCTGAGGCTGGTGTAAGGAATCCCTTATACTTGGAAGGCGAAGGGGTTACCTGTTCATAAATGGTTATTGAGGTGGACATAGCTAATCATAAAACATTCAGGTACTAGAAGACACATTAGGAAGCTTGTCTAGCTAGGACAAGTAGGCAGACCTGCAAGCCAAGCACTGGTCTGCAGATGGCCACCATTTACAGGTTCTGTGAATGCCAATGAGGCTTACTGTACAGTATATGAGGTCTAGAGGTATTCTTGTAAATAAAGATGATGCAGCATGCCAGATTCTTTTTTATATATTTTTAACTAAAGGACCTTTAAAAAGAAAAAAAAATTGCAGGTACCTCAGGAGGTCCAGCTGACACAAACAGAAATCTTCCCAGGATCCAGTGGCCTAAGGAGAGTTGAGGATGAGAAACCCTTTTAAATGGAAATATAGTTAAAAGTGTGCAATATCCTTTTTGATATTAATCAAATGGACAGATGTATTCCAGAGTATCACAGGCAAATAGCTACAGTATATCTCCTGGGAATTGTAGGGAGATAAATCTAGAATGATCTGGAAAACTAACCTTTTCACATTATTCTTCCTTTTTTTAATTTTTCCAGCATCAGAACAATTCCAAGAGTTCTCCAAACTCAAAGGCCAGTTTAAATCATCACATAAATTCCAACCACGTCAGCTCAAACTCTACTGGAAGCAGTTAGTTTTTTCTGGCTTGTGAGAACCTGCATATCGCATCCTTCCACTGGTAGCATATCAAGCACCAAGGATGAGACGAGCACCCATCATTGAGCTAGAAGATCAACAGTTTCTAACTGAGGAAGATTTTTTCTCCCCTCTCTGTTCCTTCCAGGGGAGCTTCCCATTTTACAAAGATATTTACTCTCAGGTCTGTTTTTGGGGGTGGCACTTGAGGTCTTATGACTCAACATTGTCTCTGTAGGACACTGCAATAGAAATTGGAGGCTGACAACTTGCACGTATTTAAAATTGCATCCTAACTAGAACTGAATTTTGTCCTTATTATTTTTAAAGAAAAGGTTTTGTAAATTTCTCTATTGTCTCAGTTTACATTTTGTACATTTGTATTTAAATGAAAGTCGGACTTGGGGGATGTATATTTTCTGAGCAGCAGCTTGTAAAGCCATGTGTTTTAAGACTTTTTAGTGTTGTTTTTTTTTTAAAGAAAAACAAAGTGATCAATACTTCCAGTCTCAAAATGAGGGTTTTTTGTTTTTTTGGTTTTGGTTTTGTAAATATCGAAAATTGTACATATGTTCCTTTTTCCTATTGCTTCAGTTGATACTTTTTTTATAACTAACTTCATTTTTGTCTGTCTGTGTGTGTTTGTTTTTGGTTAACGGCAACACTGCAGACTAGTGTCTTCCCTTCCCTCTGTTTTGTTAAAAGCCTTGCATTTAATGCAAACTTAGACATACAAAGTTTGGTGTCTCTAGAGAGGCTAAAAAGCTATGTCTGAAGTTCAGGATGTCATGGGACCAGCATTGTTGCTATTTGCACTTTTTGTAGCTAGCCTTTTATGTTTGTTGCTGAAAAATCAAACTCTGTTTAAAATCTCGCATCACTTTTCCTTCTCTGGGCTGGAATATTGGTAGAAAAAGAGTGAGCACACAGTCATTTGCTCTCAATATGGGAAGTCCGACCTTGGCTGCTTCTTTCAAGCAAACAATAAGAGTCTATCCAGATTTCATTGTTTCTCAAGTTGGTTTCACCTTTAAGCGGGCTTGCACAGATCATGGAGAAATGGCTCTTGGATCTGCAGAAATGCCCATTCAATTCCTGAGTCTCCACTGCACTGATCTACAACCATCTATTTGCTAATGTATTCACTGCATCCCAGAACAAGAGTACAATTGGTGTGGTTGGTGTAGTCTGTATGCCAGCTGGTGCTTCCCAATACTCCTGCTCTCTTGGATGTAGCTTCTTTTGCTCTGGCTTCAGTTTATGATATGGCAAAAATGAAGGGAGTTCAAAATCAGGAAGCTGAGCTCTTAATGGGAGCTTCTGTACCTAATAGAATTTTTCAGCTGTCCAATCTTCATTGTTCTAAGAACTTCAGAGATACCTGTACCAGTATCCTTGCCAGTAATCTGGAAAAAGATGTAATAGTTAGAAGATCTTTAAACATCTTGGCTACTTTCTGGTTCATAAGGTGTGAATGAATTGCATGGATTCTCTTTCCCTGATTGAGGGAGTCAAACTTTGAACATTAAGTTATGAAGAAGGAAGAATGGTACAATTTCTTGTGGGGATGTAATTCATAAATAATCTGTTTTTTAATATTTTGCAGTGCATTTATGGAAAATTTAAGAGCTTTAAACTGCAGAAATGGAGATTACATAAACACCAGTGGAAGCTCACCATCTATACCCAGAATACTACAAACAGTTGTATCCCACATCAGTTTTAAAAGGTGGGATTTCAGATGGTTTAATGTCTCTTCGTTCTGTATTTTTGATTTCCAGGAAAATACAGTTTCAAATATTCAGTAATTTTGAGTATTTCAAATACTCAATAATTTTGAAAGAAATTTATCTCATATGGCATCTGAATCAATTTTGAATGTCTGTTTGTCCTTTTAAATTGGAAAGACATGGGTCCTTCCCCAGGAAACAGGCTGTGTTTAAACAAAGATTTATGAAATGTATTAACTGTGGATTGGAATATGCTTGTTTTCTGCAGGTAATAGTATTTCGAAGACGGGGGACCTGTTTCCAAGGTTTTGGTCTCATGACAAATTTTTAAAGGATAAACTTAGATGTTTCAAAAAATGAGTGGTTGATGTGAAACATGTTGAGTTCTTCCTCTCAGGTATTTTAACATGTAGCAAAGCCTCCTATATCTACATAAAGTATTTCCCATCAATGACAACAAGGACACCTGATCATATCACAAAGAGAAAGGTGGGAACTCAACACTAGGAAGCCATTTGCATTGGCAGCCTGTGACATTAGAAGCATTTAATACTTCTGCCATAATCATTCTTGTGGTCAAGCGTGATCAATAATCTAAACTATGAAGTCTCTGAAAGTCAGATGAAAAGAGAGAAAGATCTGACATATACTGCTGCCCATATCAAGGGCATAAATGCTTCTTTTTGACATCACCAGTTTATAAAAATTCAGCTGTTCAGCAGCACTGGATATCCAGCTTTCAAAAGGGTATGTAAATGTGTGCATCTCTTTGTATTCACACACGCACACGTGAATTCTCTAATATCTCATACACTCCGAATAAAATGATAGTGACCAAGTACAATGCCATACTTAAGTTTTGCATGTGTAACTTCATGAGTAATTCTTATTGGAACATCAGCCCCAACTTTCTCTGGTAGGCTGATATGTATGATTAACTAATGCAAGGGGTTGATGTCAGTTAAAATATGGGCTGTATTAATCTGAAATGAAGATCTAGGTAATTTACCTCTAAAAGAGGACAGTTGTCTTAGAATTGCTGGTTCTATAGTAAGGGATGTTTACAGAAATCTTTCTAAGTTCTTGAGGGCAGGTCATCTTTCTTTCAGATAATACAGTAAAAGCAATTTTAATTTTGAGTGATCCATGAAAAAGACAGACAATGACCACTCTCAGTAAGGAGTATTTACAGTGTCATCCACTGAAGGCAGGTATTTCATGCATTAACACTGCTATTTCTGCCCTCTCATATGCTTCTGTCAAAATACAGATCACATCATAGCCTCTTTTCTCTTCCAGCTCTACTTTCCTTCCACATTTCCTTTTCATTATGATAACGGTCTCCTATTTCCCTAGGGCAATTTCATTGGAATGGTGTTCCAGATAGTAATAGGCAAAAGCTCAACACATTTTTGGCAGTCTCAGCAAACAAGAGCAAAACTGAGTTAGGTGGTAGAAAGAAGATCGACCTTGGGGTTGGGGTGGGGGGGCTATTTAAGTCTTTTTTAAAAAGGCATCCAGAAGCTGTGAATTTTCTTTCAGTGTTTTTCATCACTATTTGCAACTTTTTAACAATAATGACAGATACATTACAGCAATAAAAACACAACTTAGCTTTGTATAGAACATGTTTTTTATTCTTTTTTTAAATATATATATTAAATTCAAAATAGCTTGTGGGGTGCTATAAGACCCTTAAACTGGAACTCTTGTATTGTTTAAACATTTTCCCTTTATAAATGTTCAAGTATCTAGATTAAATTCTCACCTAATTTATAAGAATCATGGAACATATGCTACTTTTTCAGTTGGCTTATCTGTCTATGAATTAATTAAATTATTTTGCAATTATTTATTGTATCTCCCTTTGGTAGTCAAATTGTAGACAGTAACAAAAACATGAATTTCTGTGAGGCCAAGCTGTCATTTGGATTTTCATTTCACAAGTCTTATAAGGGTACAATAGCAACCTTTCTATAGTAACCAAGAGGATAAGCAGTAGGAAGTCTGACATCAGGTGACATTGTTAATATTAAGATCAGTAAGTACATGAAGAAAGGGATATAACATCCATTCATCTGCCTTTATTTATTCTGATTATTTAGGAATATAATTCCATGACCCCCTTGCCAAGAAATTCTAATATGCAGGTGCACCATTGTGAATGATCTTTCCTCACCTTCTCTATGTACAATTGACACTTGGATTGGCCACTGCGTAGGAAAATTGGATAATCTGTTTGAAGGGAAGGAATTCTACTTTTTATAAGATCAGAATATTTGTTTGATAGTTGAGCTCCATCTACTATTTACTACTAGCTGCTACTTGGCTTTTTTTAACTGGAGATGCTGGGAATGAACTTAGGATCTTCTGAGTGAAGCTTATGTGCTCTGCAAGAAAGTACCTTCCTCCTAATTCAATAGTGATAGGGAGCTTATGGTTGGGTTCTCCCTCCCCATTGGAATGCTCTTTTATGGTGAAGCACAGTGTCATATATTCAAAGAAAACAGAGGTCAAAAAGAGTCCCAGATTCCTTATATTTTACCAAATATGGGTGTGTGTTGTTGGAAGAGCAATATTTTTACACTCTTGGGTGCTTGGTGTGGGGTTCTCCTTCTCCTCTTTTGCACATGCAGAACCAGACACAGCTTGCAGCCTGATTTCACATGCAGCTTGACTTTGCCAGGATGGAACACCTGTATAAACATGTCAGAATTGAATCATTCAGATGTATCTAAAACAGGGTGGTACTCCATCTCTGGACATTGCAACAATTATTCTGCATGTCTGTGACACAGGTGCCATAAGTTGAGGATCAAAACAAAGCTAAGTCTGAGAAAGAAGTTTTTATTTCTGTTTGTGCCATAACTTGCCATGGATGCTTAAGAGATCCTTGTTTCGTTTTCGATTTTGTTTTTAATCTCTACAAGAGGCAGTGGATATTACTCCAGAGTTGCATTTCTGAGTAACTAATTATTTTCATGAACTCAGTTGTAGATGACTATAGCAGACTCTTGATTAAAATAGTGAGGTCTGTATTAGTAGTATATTTAACACTAAACTTTTAAAAAATTACATTTGCACACTACTTCATGGGTTCAGTTTTAAAAACATTTTCAGAAGTAAATATTTTAAAGCACTTGTCATATTGTAGTCTGCAAAATAAACAAAATAAACTTTGCTTCTCACATTTTTTCATAATTTAATCAACAGATTATACATTTATAATAAGTGGAAACAAATGTTCTCAAATAGAAAAATTAGTGGCTGTTGGTATTGTAAAATAATAATAATAATTCTAGTATCCAAAGGATTTTTTTTTCATTTTGTTTTAATATTCAGGGAGGTTTTTTTTAATTGTTGAATGAAAACCATTTTTATTTTGAGGTTGTTACTGACAACTATGGCTTCTGTGTTTTCTGGCTGCTTGAATTCTTGTACATGTCTAATAATATTGCAGTGCTGCTGTATCTAGATCAAACCACTGTTTTGTTTTCCAGTTTTGTTTGGGATTTTTTAGGAAAAAGAAATAAATTCCTTTATTTAAGTATATGTCAAGTGTTTCTTCTTATTCATATTCCATAAAGGCCCTTTTATTAGTTACATAATTCAGCTGGATCCGCCTCTCAGTTAACCATGTGGCTGCTAAATTAATAAGCAAAATCCAGTTACATTACGTAACTGATTCCAATGGGAGAATCGGAAAATTGCTTAAAGTTAGGTATTTATTTATTTATTTATTTATTTTATACTCATATTTATGTACATCCCTTTCTGGAATAAATACAAAATGGAACACATTGCAAAAAACCCTAATCATGAGTGAGAGGATATGAATAGATGTTTTCATTATTCCCATCCATTCATCTTTCATGCTGTTTGGGGAGTGAATGAGAGGAAAGCTACTTTTGAAAGTGCTCCTGAGATCCACCATCTGGGGCAAGCTGGGGGCTTAGCTTTTTCTTCCCACATGACTTAGAATGAGATAACTTTCAAGCGGAAAAAAAGGGACTATCATGGATTGCTGAGAAAACAGGTTGCCTCTTTTTACTAATAGAGAAATTTAAGTACCCTAATAAGTGCAAACAATAAAACCAATGTACAATTCACATATAAAATGAGTATGATATGAACGATCAAAACAAACTAATTGTGAAAACTAGAATAAAGAACAAAAGAACAAAGACAAAAAAGATCTTTGTACAGAACGTTTAAAACTTACTGGTGAAATATAACACAGAAAAGTGATATGATCATGATTGTTCTTTGTACAGCACTGATTTTCCATTAACCTGAGTTGAATTGGATTCATGTTACTGTCTTAGATGCTCTTCATTGTATTCTCCATTACATTTTCTTGACTATTTTTCAGTTTCAGTGATGTCATAGAAAGAGGCTGGTTGAATTACAGTCCAGAACTCAGAGGAAACTCAAGAGGTGTGCATATGTAGTAAATGAGTCCTGAGTTTCAAAAATTATTCATCCACATCTTTAAAATTACAGTGTAAAATACACCATAAAAATTCAAACCCAAGTCTTTTACATATTTTGACCATTATTCATCCATATGTTAAAAATTAAGGTGAAAAAATATGAAGTAGAGAGTCCAAACCCAAATCAGTTACATACATCTTCAGAGGGATGAATACCTTGCTGTAAATCTGTGATTGAAAATTATTCTAAATTGATGTTATCAGAGCAGATAGTATCACCTAGCTGAGTCTGGAAGACCTAAGGAAAGCCAAGCAGATTTAGATTTGCTTAGTACTTGGCTGGAACACTAGTGGGGAATTTCAGGTTACAGGCTAGCCTGGGAGAGTTTAAAACACATCCTGGAAGAAGACAGTGCCAAGGAAGCACCATGCACGTGTCCATGTAGTCACTGGAACTTCCACAGTTTTCAAGAAGGTTTCTATTGCTTTATTACTGGATCTAAATAGTTACAACAAACTATTGTTGTCATTTTATGTACCCATATTTGCTTTCTCTTTATTATAAGAAAGCTCTGCATGATGATAGTAACCTTTTTTGTACTATAAAAGCAGTAGTTGATTAAACTACAAAGAACAAGTTCAGGACAGGACATGGCTGCTTTAAATAACATTGGAATGTAATGACTCCTTGCCAGAATTCTCCTGGTATAAGAGTTCAGGGCAGTTGAGGTAAAATGACTGAGTGATGAGTGAATCTCTGCATGATGTAGTGTCTTAAAGGAAGCTAATTCCTAAAAAGTCTTCCCTGAATCTATAGGATTTTGCCAAATACTGTCCAGTCTCAAGTATCCCTTCTTGGGGTAAGATGCTTGAGTGGGTGGTATCAATGCAGCTGCAGACTGGGGTGAAGGGAAAACACCGCCCTTATTGTAAACCACAGCACTAGACTGTGAGTCCCTGCAGACTCAGTGCTTGCTAAGCAGAAAGGCTGTTCTGAAGACAGGGCAAGGTTAGGGTTGAGGTCAGAGAAATAACCTGCTGGGTAGTCCTTATCAGGCCTGTATATACAAACTCCCTGTGATGGAATGGTGTTATGAAGGCCACGCTCCTGCTGGGGGCTAAGGAAACACTTAT